GCCAAACATTACAACCCAGGGCAACCCAGACACTCACTTGTTCTTCAGGCCCTTATATCTTTCTCCACTCTTTTCTTACATTACCAGTCTGCCCCACTCCCTTGTTAGGGTAGGGCATTCTTTCTAAACTCCATGCTACTTTAACCTTTACTCCTCTCTCCACAACCACTCTCATTCTTTATTTTGTCTCCTCCAAGAATCTGCTTTCTCTCCTAACAAAAGCTCCAGGCGCCCCTCCTCCCCTTGTGGGCCACTGCTGAAATACCACTACTCTCATCTGTTTTTTTCAATGACCCAGTGAGGCAGGGGAGTGGAAACAAGCCCTGAGGGGCTCTCACTTCTGGCACTAAGCGCTCAACTGCACCAGCTGGGCATGGCCTGCTCTGGGAAAAGTGCTAGGTGGGGAGTTTGACTGGGGCAGTACACCTATCAATCAATAAACACAGGCGTCCTAAGGCAATCTCAGGAGGACAGAAACCTCCTGCGGAGCAGAAAAATAAAAACTCCCTTGATCTTGATTCTCAGTATGAATACAGACCATGAAAATAGACAACCACATATACTCTCTCACTGTAACCTTACAAGGGGCATCTGTAAACTAACTAGTCATAATATGCCTAACCCCTACAATGAAAATTTATATATGCAAGCTCAGAGGGACTTGGTGCAATACCAAAAAAAAAAAAAAATTATATCAAAAATATTAGTCACTATCCAGGGTGTAGTTCTGTGATGGCACTAGCCCTCTTCTCCCTCTATCGTGGTTTAATCATTCAAGCCTTACTATGGGTCTATCAAACACCTCCCTAGGCCCAAATATGACTGGACTGCTTTGCCTACCAGTGGGAATGATGTTTTTAGGTACACTAGACATTTCAGCCCCCAAGGAGAGGAGTTGCTATTCAATGCCTAAACCCAGAAAAACAGGATGGCTTATGGGCAATAGGATATGTCACCCCAGCCAATACCTTAACCCATTCCTTCATCCCTAATTCAACTTCATCAGGCCCTGAGCCCAGAAGCCATCATAGGACAAAAAGAAAAGTCGGACGCCTTATAATAGGAGTCACTTATAATGCCGTAACAGCAAAAAACATAACCGCCGCCAAGGCAAATATAAATAAACATACAGGTGAAAATTTCAAGCTTCTTTCGAAATCCCTCAACTCTCTTGCCTGCATGGTAATAGATAATCACATTACACTAGATTATTTACTAGCTAAAGATGGGGACTCTGCCTTGATCCAGTCGTTGATTCACTCCTGTATAGTGCCTAGTCTGTTTGGAGGGGCTCTTCAGACCACAGCCATCATGCTGCCTGTGTTCCCACCTAACCTGCATGTCAACACCATCCCCCACTCTGTGAAGGGAGACAGTGGGGGTGGGAGCTCTTTATGCCAAAATAAACAATAAAGTTTGAAAGCACTCAGACCAAGATAATTAGAAAAATGATATTGAATAAAAGGTGCCATTAGACTTATGATTATGACCAGATAACCCACTTAGGTTACACCAAGTTTACTGAACTCCAGAGAGGCAGGTAATGTCCAGTAAGGTCACAGGAAAGGGAGAAGGTGGAGGGAAGCAGGAATGTGTGGGTCTGAGTAGGGAGGAGGAGAAGGAAAACTTAGGGATGTGCAGACTGCAGATAGATTGAGCAAGTTCTCAGGTTAATGTCAGGGGAAGGACTAGGAACATCAAAGATGCAAGTTAAAGAAGGATAATGCAGAGGAAATAAAAAGAAAGGGACATACATATTATAGGAAGGCAGGACATTGGAGGAATACTCAAGAAGGGTAGAAAATAGGACACTGAGAAATAGAGAGTTTGCCCCTGGTAATGGAATAATAGTCTGGGATGTAGTAAAGGGAGTAACAGGTTTAGGCTACTCCTGACGCTTGGATTGACAATGGCCCTGCCTTTATAGCAAAGAGATCACAGGATATCTCTAAGGGGTTAAATATAAATTGGAAGCTCAATTGCGCTTACCGCCCACAGAGTTCCAGGCAGATAGAGCACATGAACAGGACCTTAAAGGAAACCTTAACCAAATTTACATTAGAAACTGGTGAACACTGCACCACTCTGCTCCCCCTCGCCCTCTTACAGTTCTTGCAGGCCCTACAGTCTGCCCAGAAAGCTGTCCATAAACATGTCTGCGACACCCTGCCTGTGCGTACCTCGGACCCTGTGCACCCTTTCCAGCCCAGGGTCTCAATATGGGTAAAGAAGTTCACCACCCAGGGACTAACTCCAGCCTGGAAGGGACTATACACTGTCATCCTGCCTAAAACAATGGCTCTCAAGGTCAACGGCAATCCCGATCTGGCAGCACCATTTCAGGCTGAGGCGGGGGAAAGCAAAATGGATAGTTCAGGTCTCTCCAGATAAGATTCTTGCATTTATCGGGACTTTAATATTTTTGGTTATGACTGTTCAGGGGAATCCTTATAGACCTGGGCCCCAATGGGACTGGGAACTTAGAAATGGAGTATTGGGGGAGGTCTTAAGAAATGTTACTACAAAGGGAATAGAAAAACCTGTCTTCAACCTTGATCTATGTGACCGCTTAAGGGGGACCGTTGGGGTTCCAAAGGTCCCTGATGTCTGGGTCACATATGGAGGGGTTAGCCCCCAACTGGAAGACACCCCAGCATGGAGCTATGGAACATCTGCTGCAGAATGGGCATCGCAAGGGATAGGCTTTTTAGGAGTCCATGACAACCCCACACCTGCAGGAAGTAGACAGAGAGACTTCACCCCTTTTCCCTTTTTTTTAATCATAAAAAGGTGGGACTGAAAGGGTTAATAATGTTTTAACAAAATTAAACTCCATTCTGACCAGTTATTCCTGCACATAAACACCCAAGCAGTTTTCTAAAAACCTGGGACTGACACCCAGAGGAACCATAAAGATAAGGGGTTGATGATGGCCTTGGGAAACTTGAAGGGACCATTAAAAAAAAAAACTGGAGATTAATGATGGTCCAGACCTCTGCTGGAGCAGACTCCTTACCTCTGAGATAACTTGTATCAGCCCTGACACCAATTACGCAGTGCCAAGAGAATGTGGGGTTTTTTTAATGTAGTTTTTTTTTTTTTTTTAGTTTCTATAGTTTGGGCCTATAAAAACCAGAGAACAAAGAGATTTGGAGGCTGGGCTCTTTTTTAAGGAGTCAGCCTGCCTGCACCCAGGCGTATGCATAAAGCCATTTGGCTCAACACTGGCCTTGCATTGGATGTGATCTCCCACTGACTCATACCTTTTACTCATGACTCCCCTTACTTTGCTTGTTTTAATTTTTTTCACAACGTGTATCATTTATGATCTTGTAACAAACTATAAATTACTTATTTAGTGGTTATTGTTAATGTACTGTCAATTCTACATGAATGTAAAGTCCACAAAGAGTTTGAAATTTTTGTCTGTATCATTCACCTATGTATCCCAAATGCCTACAGTGTTGCCTGACACAAGGTGGGTATTCAAAAAAATATGTTAAATAAATAATCTTTACCACATGACCATATAAACAAAAGGCAAAAACAAGAATACTGTTAGTGTCATTCATTCACTAACATCTCTTTCAGCATTTATTACATGTCAGTACCTTGCCGATATTTAGTATAACCCAGCTAATAGTCTACTTTTAGAGAATCAGGGAAGGAAACTGTGAATCATTAAGAAATATATGTTTTATAAATGTACTCTACTTTTGCACAACCCTGTATATTGATCTCAGACTGGTCGTGGTATCTAATTTTTTAATTCTATTTTCCTTTGCTCCACACTTCTAATAATTAAAACATCAGGCTATCAAATCTTTTATATACACTGAGAGAAATTCTAAAAGACCCAGAGTCTTTGGCCAGTAGTCACTCATCAACTGAACTACCTTGAATGGTTTTACAACTAATGCCTCTTCAAAACCCAGGTTATTGTGGAGATTCTCTGAGAAAATGAAAAGTGTTTCTCTGAGGCTCCAGGCTGCCTTTTGCAGAGGTCAAGGTCAGAGGGCCCTGGTATGAGGAAGGAATCACCTCACCCACAACAGCTGCATGCTGACAGTTCAAGTTAACTGAAGAAGCCTGTGGACAAAAGAGGGTGTCTCAAATGTCCAAGATTATAGTTTAAATTCTTGGGGTTATTTTTATTATTTATTACTAATTCTGTTGGATTGTGATTAGAGAACATGACCTGTAAAATTACATATAACAATCTGACAGGCTCAGGGAAGGCCTACACGGCGGGCCTTACAAACTCAAGAGACCTAAGATAACTACATAGGACAGTCCGAAATGAAAACTATCTAAAAGGGAGTCATGGTGGGTAGTCATGATCTAGGCCAGTATCTTCCTTGACAAAGGTCAATCTTTACTTTGAGCCTATTGCCTTTTTATATCTATAACATACCTTTGGAATGTCAGAGTAATCCCCTTTTGTCATACCCCTCAGGGAACAATCTCCCACCATTGCACAGACCGTAGCAACCCCTCATTGTTGTTATGTTCTCCTATGTACCATCTCTATATGCTGTAAATGTTGTTAACTATCCTATACTCACCAATATAAAAGATGTAGCTATTCGTTTTACTTTTTATCCAATCCCAGATATTTTCTGGGTTTGCTTTCTCCCACTTCACTAATCTAACACCAATGGATTTCATGTAACCCAGTAGGCCTCCTCCTTTGATAGTAATGTATAAAATAACATGTAAAGCTGCCATTCTCTGGAACATTTTCCCAATGGGTTGAGCTTTTGCTTCTGCGCAATTGTCAGCTTGGCTCAAATAAACTTAAAAATTCTCTACAAGTTTAAACAATTCACATTTAAATTGATCTGCTCTGAAACACCAGAGAGAGAAAAGCGCCTGCAATAGCCAGGACCCACCCCGCCCCCCTGCGCGCATGCCCAGCCCTAGCGGTCCAGTGAGTCGTACTTTCTGTCATCCTCCCGCCCCTCAGACCGGAAGGAGTTGCAGTCGCTTCCGGCGCTCAGAGGCCTGTGGTTGCTTCGGTGATGTCCTGGGTTCAAGCAGCTCCTCTAGTTGGTGGTGGTGGAGAGGACCGGGAGGTGTTTGACGAGGAAGCAGACGAGTCGCTCCTGGTGCAGCGGGAATGGCGGAGCCAGATGCAGAGACGAGTCAAAGTAAAGCGCGGGTGTCCTTTGATATGCTGGGTTTTGGGGAGAGAGCTGCGGAGTTGTGAAGAATTTTGGCCTGAGATGAGAGGCCAAAGTAGTCTGGCCTGGCCCAGAGGTGCCTCCCTACCCCTTGCCGCCCAATCCGGCCCACATCCTGCTAAAATTACCCAATGGGTTACTTTAAAGCGTGTGAAACCACAGGGCGCATTCCTCGAGCGCCTGCGGGGTGGGGTAGACGCTGGGTCCGACCAAAATAAACCGCAAACTTTGAAGAGTTTGATGTTTGAAGAGGATCGCAGGGAAGGAGTGGGGGAAATGTATATACTGACTATACTAATTATGGCTGTGAGAGGACATGTACACAGTATGCAGGATTGCTTGAATGAGTGAGAAACCTTAGTTAGGGGTAGTATTAATCAATGTACATCTATGGAAACAAGTAATGTAAGAAGGTTGACAAAGGGCACTAAAGGAAAGCCTATACGGAATACTGGTGACTAGATAAGGAAGTATTAAAGTTGGTCTTTTTTATTTGTTAGGTGTGATTTGTCCATCTCTAATTTGTTCCACTATTCATTGAGATTAAGCTTAATACCACACACCCAATTTACAGGTGGAGCACTCGGAGCTTATTTCAGGACCAAATGATGAGGTCCGCTTCCACTCAATATCCTTGCCAACAATTAAATTGCCCTTATCTGCTTTTGTTTAATGTTTCGGTAAAATAATTGCTTAGTCCAACAACCATGTTGTCAGTTTCAGAAATGCTTTGTGTGAGGCTGGGGTATCATTGCTTGAGCATCTTTTGAGTGCTGTGGCACCAGAGGAGATGCAGGACAAAAATCCCTGCCCACAGTAAATTTACAGGTTAGTTGAATTTAGGTATCAAACAAAATTTCTAAAGCTAGATTTCTTATTTTCCTTTTGCTAAACCAGTTTTCTCTTTTCCTACTTTAGTGAATTATGCAAGACCTTTGATAACCCTACTTATTGCCTTTCCTCCTCACCTACCCATACCAATCCAGTCAGTTGCAGAGGGGCCAGAAATGTAATTTTCCATGTATCCTTTCTGTGAAGTCATTGCTAACATAGGATGTTTAATGGGATAACTCAGTAATACATGTTTATGAGAGTATAGTCTACTTTGTGTAGCTATGCCATATGTTTTAGAACCATTATGTTAAAAAGCACAGGAAAGACTTGTTTTCATTGATTTTCTAAAGTGGTTCTGTGACTTTCCAGAAAAACCTACAATGGGTCTCTTGTTAATTGCAAGCGCATTTCTTCATTCCTTGTTTTTAGGAAGGCTATAGAGATGGACTAGAGGCTGGCAAAGCAGTTACCCTTCAACAAGGGTTCAATCAAGGTTATAAAGAAGGTGCAGAAGTCATTATAAACTATGGACAACTCAGAGGAACTTTGAGGTAATTTTTAAACTTAAATGCTGAATCATTTTAATCCCAGTACTACTGGAGGATTTTTATAAAAGTAGTATGTAAAACTAAAGTGTTCAAACTGAAGTGCTTTTCCTAGTGTTAAATCCACAAGAGTGCTGCAGATCATTAGAATAATGTTCAAAAAGTCAAGATTATCAGTTCATCCAATTTAATATATGAGGTAGGTGACCTTCATAGCAAAGAAAAGATAGAAGGTGTATATTTTTTGTTACCTGAACTATCGCCAATCTATATCTCAAAGTAATTTAAAATATCTTCAGGTTTTGAATAAAGCTTTTAGTCTTGCATGTGACAGAGCACAGTATGACAGAATTCCGTACTAGAAGTACATGATGAAAACTATAGCTGGTAATAGAGAGAAAAAGGATCTCATTTACTTTAGTCCCGAACACTGAATACCTGTCAAGATACCATAGCAGTAATGACATATTTCAGAGCCACGGGGTCAAATGGCACATGGAGCTGAGTCATGACAGAGTTGTCCTCTTTGATAACTCTATACCATTTAAACTGCCCTCTATAGAGGAAATGCTGCAAAGAATCAATGATTTTTAAAAGGGTACTGCCCTGGCTGGTTTGCCTCAGCGGTTGGAGTGTCGGCCCGTGGACCGAAGGGTCTTGGTTTTGATTCCCAGTCAAGGTCACCTACCTGGGTTGCAGGTTTGATCCCTGGCCCTGGTCCAGGTCTTGCAGGCAGCAACCAATCAATGTGTCTCTCTCACATCGATGTTTCTCTCTCTCCCTTCATTCCTTCCACTCTTAAAATAAATGAAAAAATATCCTTGGATGAAGATGGTCATAAAAAATAAAGTGTACAATGTAATGTTTAAAAAATAAAATAAAAAGGGTAGAAAATAAAAGTCATCAAAACACCAATAAAATTACTGTGTTTAAGGTTTTAGAAAATTCACAGGAATCATAAATTGTAGTCTACTACCATAGGAAAATTATCGTGTTCATCTTTACATCAAGTTAAAGTAATCTTTTATAAGCTTAGAAAGCTTATTGCTAAGTCTTTTATATCAATTGATTTATTTTTACATTTTAACGTATTTTATTTGTGGGGTGTTTGTATATAATTTATAAATGAATCATTTATAAATGAATCATCAAACATTCATTTCACATGAGCATGAGGGCAATCTTTACTTCATATAAATGTATAATTGTTTGAAGTTCAAGAATAGTAAGGGCAATGGAAGCCTATTACATTTTTAAAACATCATTACTTTTCACAACCATTTGATGTCATAATTATTTGAACAATCTGAAATATCAAAAAAGAAAAGTACTATCTGTACTAGAAAAGTAGAGAAAAATATTTATCTAGAATAGAATCATTTTTACCTTCAAGAAAATTGTTAGTTCAGCAAACAGTGTCTACTTATAGCAAAGTTGGGAAAGTGCACTTACCTAAAAAATTTTTTTTCTAACCTTCAATTTTGATGGCAAGCAACTGCTGTATATGAGTAGAACAGTGGTTTTCAACCTTGGCTGCAGCTTTAAAAAATAATACCTCTAGAGATTCTGATTTAATTGGTCTGGAATATGACCTAGACCTTGATAGTTTTAAGCTCCCCAGGTGATTCTAATGTGCATCCAAGATTGAGTATCACTAGTTTAGAAGCAGTTTGATGTCCTTAAAGCAAAAATTAATTTTTCTGGTCTCTCTCTCTCTGTTTCTCTGAGTTGTATCCCTCTTCAACAGAAGCTATACAGTCATAAGGGGAAAATCTAAAATGAGGAAAAGTGAATGTAGATCTGTGAAGGAGGGGTTATGAATTAGAAACAGTTTATATGATTAAATGCAATTGTTTAATTTCTGTTGAAAGATAATATCCTTATATATTTTTTAATCTTATTTTACCATTATTACTTGGGTTTGCATGGTGTTATCTAGAAAAGAAACAAAAACCTCTGATTGTTTAATTTTTTTCCTGTTTAACTCTTGTTTATATTTTCATTCAGTGCTTTGCTGTCCTGGTGTCACCTTCATGATAATAGTTCAGCTTTGATCAGTAAAATAAATAATCTTCTGGATGCAGTTGGCCAGTGTGAAGAGTCTGTACTCAAACATCTGAAATCAATCACCCCACAGCCCCATATTGTAGATTTATTGGACTCCATTCAGGATATGGACCTTTGTCATGTAGTTCCAGCTAAGAAAAAGATTGATGAAGCTAAAGATGAAAAACTCTGTGAAAATAATGCTGAGTTTAACAAAAACTGTAGCAATAGTCCTAGTGGGGTAGATTGTCCATCTTTACAATGTTGTGGAACACAGGAGCGTACACATTCTGAAAACCCAAGCCTCACTTGGATTTTAGAACAGACAGCCAGTTTAGTAAAACAGCTAGGAGTATCAGTAGACATATTACAGCATCTCAAACAAGTATGAAAATTATCTTTACTTTTCTAATGAAAATAATGTTCAGAACCTTCCTTAGAGCATTTTGTTTCTTAACAAGTTTATCAAAATGTGTACTGGTTTCTACACTGAACACTTCACTGCCCTTCATGAAAGTTTGAAACATCTGAAGAATTAACACTATTGAACATAATACAAGCCTTTTTTATCTGTCAGTGGTAATTTTTATGTAGTTTAAAATGTGCTCAGAAATTCCAGTTGTCATTGTCATTTTCACATTTCTGATCAAAACAAGCATTTTCAGACTCACTAGCAAATGTAAATAAAATACTTTGTAAGGATCTAACCGTACTTTCTGCTCTGTCACCATCAGTTAGTTGGGACCTCATCTCCAGCTAGTCAGACCAAAGTTACCAAAAATAATGGCTAACAGTGTAAATAGATAAACATACATATACAGGGTGTCCCAAAAAAATGTATCCACAACTTTGGATAATTATAAAGCCGCTGTTTAGTAAAATACATTTCACTTTCAAAATGTAATAGAATCTACAGACACCCTGTGTATGAATATATAGATAATTTATTGAAAATAAGGGGATGTAAGTATAAAAAAATGAAAAAAATGTTTATATTGATGATTAAAAGCACTACAAATACTAAAATTATTTTTACGTTAATTAAAAGTAAAAAATACAGTCTTTGAAAAAATACAGAAAATAAATTTCATACTCAAGTACTGCTTAGTTTTTTTTTCAAATATTTAGGAGTTAGTATTGCCTAATGTGCTGAATTATTATGCCTAAGCTATAGTTTTGCTTCATATCCACATAGGAATAAAACACTGGAATCACTTGTAACAATATTCTTAGTCTGGCATAGATAAAATAAGATTCAAACTTTTGTTACAGGACCTAAGCATATAAGATCAGGAAACGATTTTTCGTCACTTTTTTGCCTGAAACTAATTTATGTGAGGTACTAAACTTCAGAAGCACCCAAATAATTACCCCTATTGATAGCCTTAATTGCTTTTCACCAATATTTATATCTACCATCTACTCTAAAAGACAGACATACTGAGATAGTAAGAGAATCTGATAAAATGTCTTTCAAAAGATTAAGAAAATGTACTACTATGATCTTACAACCTCCTCAAAGTTTACTGGATATTAAGGAATTGAAACAGCAAATTTGAAACCAGAAGACTATATAGTGTTTCGGGATTTACTGAAACATACTGAAGGTATAAAATCTTTTGGCAGCCATTTTTTTAAAAAAGGTGTGTTTATCTCCAGATGTAAACAATATTTCAGAGATTTACTCTCTTTTTCCACATTTATGGATGCAGCAAAAATGTCAAATTCTCATGAAATTTATTGTAAGTTTTAAAATCCCTCATGTTGCTCTGCCCTGCATATTAGATATGAAATGCCCTTTCGAATGCTACATCTCAAGAAAGTCACTCCGAGTAAAAAATTTCATGAATGTAACAAATCTTGAAATTTTATCTGGGTTCATTCTAATAAGACCCCCTAAAGATAACAGCCCTTGCCACCATTGGAAATAGGGTGTTTTTTTTATGTGTAGATGTTCATAGAAAAATAAGTCAAGAAAATTAGTTGAGTTGATGAGGCTGTTGAGCTGAAATCTCTTAAACTTTGCCTTTAAAAAAAATACAGTAATAGTTCCTGGACTACAGAAGTATATTAATAGTGTGCTCATTATACCTGTGCTCCATGAATGTGAGTCTCTACTATTTTTCTCCCATTTTCTCTTCTTTGTTCATTTTTCTTTTTTTCTGTTTGTTTCTTTTATTATGTGAGCCTCTGTAAGAACCAAGGGAAAGAGACCTTACTTGCCTGTGTCCTTGCCTCACGTATTATAGGCCTGGCAAGTCTTGCCCTGAAAGGGCCTTCAGTGAACATAAATGTAGGACAAAATTGCCCCAGAACGGGCAGCCAGAGTTTCAAGACCTAGGACATGGTCATTAGGACTGGTTGCTTTGGCTCCCTTAACAGAAATTTCACCTTAACTATGTTATTTCTAGATGCTGACATATCTGGCATTTTGTGTTTTCCTAAATGTGAGGGTGGAGAAGTCCATAATACTATGCTTTTTTGACATTTCAGTTGCTAGAGCTGTTGAGCCCACTAAAATTTTTGTCATAGACAGGAAGTGGGCAGCTGAATTCACCTACCTGCATCCTTATCTCATTTAAATCCTTAACACTGCTTATTAACTGCTTTGTGGTAAACCAAAATAAAAGCTTTGAACCAAGTTCAAGTTGTGATCCTCACCCATCTTCAAACAAAAATTAAAGGTTTGTGTTCTGGTCTAAGATATAGAGGAATAGTAAATATAGAGAGAGACCAAAGATATATCAATATTATATAGGAATAGAGTCTAACTTAGTTTTTAAATCTTACTCTTAATTTAAGATCAATGATGAAGTAAATATCATATGCTTTGTTAATAAACTACCAATCAGACTTCTTGCTCTCTAGAAATTCTCAAAGCTCCATTGAGAAGATACTTCATCATAGTTGGCTTTCTTGCTTCTGCTCTTATTTACTGCATCTTTCCAACAAACTTACTAGAAGAGGAGTCTGTTGTCACTGTCTCAAATTGTTTTCTCCCCATTTACACTCCTCAACTTCAAACTGCTTTTGGCTAAGGTCAGTGTTGGCTAAAGTCACACAGTTGCCCCTGACTTGTTTTCACATGCCTCAATCACTGGACATGAACTATCCCTACTTTTATAATTCCTACTTCCTTCTGCAGCAGCATTTTTTCTTATTATTACTACTTATTTCTATTGGATAAATTATATACTTGAATTTTTCTGGGCCCAAACAGCCATTCTGATCTCATCCTTCCTCTTGATGATCCCCAATGCACACCATACTTCTTTATGGATAATACTACAAATGTTTTATGGATAATTCCCAACTTTTAATAATTATTCCTGACTCCTCTGCCCAGAATACTTTATTTCACATCCCTCCTTACCAGAAAAGTCCTATTTATCCTTCAATAACAGCTTAAATTTTAACTTTATCATAGTTACTCTTCCTAGTATTCTAGCTGCATCATTTTGAGTATCTGAGACTTCAGTGTTTTGTTTTGTTTTTTCAAGAAAGTGCCTTATTCATTGTTACATCATTAGCACTTAGCACCATGGCCTGTATATAGATGTAAAGTGGTACTTGATGAGAAGACATTTTAAATGTATCTACTAATCAAAATGAAAAGAAATTTAAGGTTCCAAATTATTCTTTTGTTTTTAGAAAACAGTTTTGTTTACCTTCTTTTTAATGTGTCTTTCATTTAGCATGTTAATAAAAGTCCACATATACAAATTGTGTTGTCTTATACCAAGTTAATTGTAACACAATAGTATTTACCAGTCTGTAAAAATAAATTGCACTAATGAATAAGTAATAGTACAATATATATTTTTAATTAATTTATTTTCGTTACAAATGTTTCTCCTTTTTCTCCCAAGACACCCTCCTCCCAATCACCCCCCCACCCACAAACATTGTTGTCTATGTCCATTGGTTACACATACACACATATAAGTTCTTTGGTTTATCTCAGCCCCCCCTCCTCTGAAGTTTGTCATTCTGAACAGTACTCCTTTCTATGTCTCTGGGTCAATTTTGTTCATCACCTTTTTTTGTTCATTATATTCCACAAATAAGTGAGATCATGTGGTATTTGTCTTTCTCTGATTGGCTTATTTTGCTTAGCATGATACTCCAGGTCCTGCCATGTCATCTCAAAGGATAAGATCTTTATTTCCTACACCTGCATGGTGTTCCATTGTGTATATGAACCACAGCTTTTTTACCCATTCATCTATTGATGGACACTTGGGCTGTTTCTAGATCTTAGCAATTGTAAATAGTGTTGCTATGAACATGGGGGTACATACGTTCTTTCTGATTGGTGTTTCAGGCTTCTTAGGATATATTCCTAGAAGTGGGATCACGGTCAAATGGCAAATCAATTTTTATTTTTTTCTGGAATCACCATATTGTTTTCCACAGTGACCATACCAGTCTGCATTCCCACCAGCAGTGTTCTAGAGCCCCCTTTTCTCCACACCTTCGCCAGCACTTGTTTGATGACTTGTTGATGGTGGCCATTCTGACAGGTGTGAGGTGATACCTCATAGTTTTAATTTGCATCTCTCTGATGGTTAGTGACGCTGAGCATTTTTTTTTTTTATGTCTCTTGGCCATTTGTATGTCCTGTTTGGAGAGGTGTCTATTTAGGTCCTCTGCCCATTTTTTACTTGGATTCTTTGTCTTCCTTTTGTTAAATTGTATGAATACTCTATGTCTTTTGTAAATTAACCCCTTATCTGATATATTGTTGACAATTATGCTCTCCCATATAAGGGTTCCCTTTCCATTTTGATGGTTGTTTATTTTGGTGGGCAGAAGCTTTTTAGTTTGGTGGTCCCATGTGTTCATTTTTTTCTTTGTTTCTCTTGCCTTAGGCATTGTATCAGTGAAAATTCTGCTGCGTGTGATTTCTGAAATTTTGTTGCCTACATTTTCTTATAGAAGTTTTATGCATTTATGAATCACATTTAAGTCTTTTACTCATTTTGAGTTTATTCTTGTGTATGGTGTAAGTTGGTGGTCTAGTTTCATTTTTTTGCATGTAGCTGTCCAATTTTCCTAACACCATTTATTAAAGAGGCTGTCTTTACTCCACTGTATGCTCTTGCCACCTCTGTCAAATATTAATTGAGCATAATGTCTTGGGTCAGTTTCTGGGTTTTCTGTTCTGTTCCATTGATTTATGTGCCAGTAGCAAGTTGTTTTGATTACAGTGGTTTTCCAGTATAACCTGATAATGGTATTATGATCCCTCCTACTTTATTCTTCTTTTTCAAGATTGCTGTGGCTATTCAGCACCTTTTTTGGTTCCATATGAACTTTTGAAGTATATGTTCTAGTTCTGTGAAATATGTTGTTGGTATTTTAATGGGGGTTGCATTGAATCTATAGATTGCTTTGGGTAATATGGACATTTTAATGTTAATTCTTCCAATCCATGAACAAAGTATATGCTTCCACTTTTTTATATCTTTTTCTATTTCTTTTTTCAATGTCCTGTAGTTTTCTAAGAACAAGTCCTTTTCTTCTTTGGTTAAGTTGAGTCCTAGGTATCTTAATTTTTTGCTACAATGTTAAACGGGATTTTTTTTTTAGTTTCTCTTTCTGTGAGTTCATTATTGTTGTATAAGAATGCCATCAATTTCTTGATGATAATTTTGTATCCTGGTACTTTGCCAAATTCATTTTTAAATCTAGTCTATTTTTGATAGTCTTTAGGGTGTTCTATGTACAATATCATGTCATCCTCAAATAATGACACTTTCACTTCCTTCTTTCCAATTTGGATTTGTTTTATTTTTCCTTCGTGTCTAAATGCTATGGCTAAGACTTCCAGTACTATATTAAATAAGAGTGGCAAAAGTGGGCATCCCTGTCTTGTTCCTTTTCTTAGGGGAAATGCTTTTAGTTTTTGCCCAC